TTATACATTTTACATCCCGGTGATCCCAAGGTCCCGACGAAAATCGAGATGAAGCATATAATATACTCATTATACGTGTAGACATTTCATTCACTAATTGTTGCGCATGGGTCCTGAACATTCTCGACTTCTCAACCGCTAGCCGAAGGAGGAGGAACAGGCCGGTGGCTCCTTCCCCGGAGGCTTCCCTTGACCTAACTTCCAACATCACAGATTCTTGTTCGTACCATACTGCAAAAATTCTTATTTTACATGTTCATATGATCAATTTCTATCGACAATTTTATACTGGTGGGTCCAATTTTTTTGTCATTAGAGCCCTTTGCATTATTCTTCGTGCACCGCGTAATCCCACGAATCACAAGCTGCAGCTTTGTTTGGACTCGATAAGGAGACAAGGAAAAGATTTTCTCTCGATTATTAGTAATCTAGAAGGCACTTTAAATTACTTAATCATTACTTCGATTTTCAATTTGGGGAGCTGGGGTCTGATTTGCACGTTTTGCCCTAGAAGAAAAGAGGGTCATGTTCAGGGTCCCCCTTGGAGGAGAGCCGAGGCAGGCTGGTGTGGAGGAACCACTCAGGTGGTTAAGTATTTTATTATTGATTTCTTCAAGTTTGGTTTCATGTACCATGATGTGCTTTGGTTGGTGCCCTTTAGGTTGACTCTTGTCCTTCTTGGAACTTGGAAGCATGTATCCATTTATGTTGATTTAAATATATAACAATTTCTTTTATTCAAATTTCTTTTATATATATATAGGATCCTGTCTTTCTTGGAAGCATGCCTCTGGTCAGATGCAAATTACATAGGTAGAAGCAGCCTAGAGATTATTTTACTAGACCTACTAATTGATACTAGCATTTAGGGGTTATTCAACTTTTTTTCCTTAAGCTCCGTTTGTTTTTTTGATAAACGAATGATTTGAAAAATATTTTTCTAAAATAATCGTTTGCATCGCTTACGAAAATAAATAAACGAAAAATATTTTCATTATCTATGAAGATATTTATATATAAATTATTGTCGGTAATGAAAAAAATTTTCATTGACTAATTATTTTAGGCAATGTAAACTATCATTTTGAGGAAAACATTTTTCATATCGTTCTTTTTTCTGCGAAATAAATGGAGCTTTAGTCTCTATATTTAGTACCGATTTCTCAAATACATAGGGAAAAGTAAAGATGGGTTGTAGAATTATAGATCCGACATGGGCAGGTAGAAATTCATCGTCGAAGCCAACGAGGGAGGCCGAGAGACACGGCACTCCTTCGGGGGACATTCGAGAAAATTGCTCTGGCGATGTAAAAACGTCTCTTGGGTTCGTCCAACACATACATGACCTAATCCCCGAACATACGATTGCCAAAGAATCCCCCGGTTTCAAGGTGATCCGAATCCTGTGCTTTCTATCACTAATTTCTTTTTCGGGTGCTTGCGTATCGCAAGAGTTCATTAGCAATACGGCGTGTCCCCATTCCATGAGGATCTCGCACCAATGTGCTTCACGTTGTGCTTCAAGATTTCTTAATCAAAGAAGCAAAGATCTGCCACATCATCTTTGGGGTATTCTTTGCTTTCCATGCACGCAGCTAATCAAATGCATTTATTATGAACTAAAGGTGACAAAAGTGGAATAAGACTCGATGAAAAACGAGGGGGAGGGGAGGATTATGAAAAGCGAATGTCGCTTTCATCATTGGGTTAACTATAATAATTATAATAAAGGCTTCATTAATAAAAACCCTGAAAGCAATGTATACGCATTCATCCAATGTGCTGGTGGATGGTCATTGTAATCGCAAGATATAAACATTGAATAATGTCGAGCGAGAACTACGTTTGTACGCATGCATGGCCCACGAAACCCTAACTTGGCAACGATGGAGTGATCTGTACATGAACCTTGATGAAGATGACTGCGGTAAATTACTCAGGCGTGTCGAAGTGGAGAAGAAGGAGAAGAACTTCCAGCAGACGCTTTTTAGTGCAATTTTTTTTTCCCTTTTTTCACTCGATTGATTTGAGCTTAATTGCCTATTCAATGCTGTTGTTTGGAGCCATTTCCTGCCATTACTTTTAGGAAAATTGAGACCTAGGTTGAGCTTTATGAATGTTCCATACGGTGGTGTGTATGTTAAGTAGTAAAGCGAGATGGATTGTATAGACTGGTGTATGCGGATGCTCAAAAAAATCGTGAAAAGGAAACAAAAATCCAATTTAGGGTGCATTTGTTTTGTGAAAAATGAATGATTTGAAAAATATTTCATAAAATGAACAAAAAATATTTTCGTTGTTCATAAAAATGTTTAAACATAAATCATTGTCGATAGTGAAAACATTTCTAATTAGGAAAATATTTTCCAAATAATTCATTTCCCGCAAAATAATCAAAGATTTAAAACATGTTATTTATCTTTATTTTAATTTTAGTTTTATTCGACTATTTCGTTTTAGGTAACTCTTCCAAAAACGACATTCTTTTTTTGGGTAGACAAAACTATCATGTTTAACTATTTTTCTAATCGACCAAAAAAAAACTATTTTCCTAAACCTCATTTCTATAGTTACAACAAGAATGATTTTTGATGTTATTGTAATTCTCCGGATACTTTTTGTGAGAAGACTAGATAATTACCATTTCGTAATTGGTGTTTACTCAATTACACACGCACCGTTGGATCGTTGACAGATGAAAGAATTCAATTATAAAATTGACTCCAAACACAAACGTTACTAGCTCAATAACGAGTGCATGAGGATTTTTCTACATCGGCAATAGACGTACTAATCATTCCAAAAGTTTACACAGGTTCCGTTCCATTCTCTTCCTTATGTTATATTACCGTCGCTCATGAGAGCACAGAGATTCAAAGATCAATATGCTAAGATAGGTAAAAAAGCCTCACATCTCAAAAACTTTCTGAAACCTGGTCGGATTCAATGTGATTAGTCCATTTATCGAAAGGCCATTATGATAAAATCCCACTTTAACTTTTCGAAAAGCGCGTTGGTTAAGCTTAGTTATTTCAAAACAAAGAGCCATTTGTCTGCTACTGTTTACCTTTTCTTCTGGGGCCTCTCAAATGCTTCTTAATTAAACAGATCAAAGCATGCATTTATATTTTATTTATATTTTTAATTATATATTTTTTGACGGTCAAAGCAGGAATTTGTCTCGAATTAGCAGAAAGTCCAATATTTTAGCTGGTCACTTTGCGGGGGCCCAAAAAAAAGAGCAAAAAAAAAAAATTGTGTCGGCAAAAATAAAAAAATGAGAAGAAACTTAAGGAAAAACCGGGAAACATGTTAAAATAGCCAGGTGCATTACATTCTTTCACTTGACTTTTTCAACCTTTTATTTTACACACATACATATGTAATTAACCAATAATTTCTAGGGCAAAATAGAGAGAGGCAATATGCTTGGCTATGCAAAAATATAACATGCACCTAACTCAACGCGGATATATATATTTGAACATATTTAGAAAGTTAATTATGACTAGTCTTGAACAAGGATCAATTACCGATATGCGGTTCATAAACTTGATCGATCCAAATAGATCGAAAATGCAAGTTTCAAGCATGACCAACTTTTCATTACATTTATTTTTATCTTGGGATGATAAATGAGATGGTTCGATTTAATGGTATAAAAGTTGCATATTATCCTCTTCTTACGCCGACACCCGTCGCATTAATAGAAAAGATAATCAAATTTCTGGTATTTATAGCCGAGCCAAATTAACTTTCGACGTTAATTTAATCCTCGACGAGAAATTTCTACCATTTTTATTGTTGAAAATGAGCAATTGAGCATGTAACCCGAATGAAATGGAATGCACATTCAAGACCAATGCAATGCACGTTTGATCGTGCCTTCTTTTCTATATTTCGTAACTTCAAAGTAACAGTAATATCACTGTCAAAGAACAAAAAAAAGTACTAGTAATTTCACAATCATCAACAACAAGGGACCTTGCTTTGAAGCAAGAAAACACTGAAACGTGCAATAAATAAATAAATAATAAATAAACAAACGAAATAAATTAACTATCGACGTGGCTTCTGAATTTAGAGAGAAAGTTTAATAAAGACCATTGACCACCGAAAGCACAGTTTCACTTACCTCCTGAGTCATGCATTCCTCAATTGGTCATAAATATATATATTCATTTTCTTCATATAGAATTATTTTTATGGATTTAGAATTACATTCTTTTTCACTTATCTAATATTTAAATACTTCACCCTCTAATCAAAATATTAATATTGGATTTACGGTTTTAATATTTATCGGAAGACTGATGTTTCTTTTACGCCTCGCCATTATTTCCTTCCCGAAAAAGTAAATCGAGGCACTTTGTTGCCTCACTCTTTCTTTCTCTAATTACCCATAAAAAAGTATTTTCTTCTTAAGCAGGCTTTGGTTAGACGTATTCTCAAAAACATGAACGTGCGAGGATTGCTTGCGGGTATCGAGAGCACAAATAGAAAGAATCCCCACCTGTTGCCATAGGATAGAGAATGTTTTCTTTTTTATGCTGATAATGAACTTGTGTGAGACTTGGAAAGGTAATTTGAGGTCCCATCTACAAATTAGACCTCTCATCCTTTCCAACAATTCACCCTTTGACATTTCTGCAGGCACACTGATTGTCTGTCCCTTGGAGTCATAACCAAACACCCCTGTCCTGTTTCTCTGCTCTCTCTCTGTCTCTCTCTCTCTCTGTCTCTCTCTCTCTCTGTCTCTGAGTCATATTCTATATGAGTTGAGAGATTAGATTTGGAGAAATTAAAAATTGGATTTTTTTTCCTATAATAAGAATCACGATTCAAAAGAGACGGCCCCACACCCAGCAGGCAAATAGTTTTCTTTTTTTGCAACTAATCTAATCAAGTGTCTGATGATCTGTCACCTCCAATACCAAAAATTAAGATTAAATAGGGAAAAGGAAAGGGGCCCAAACAGAAGGAGAAATTGTGAGCAAGAAACAGCGGAGAAAGTTTCCATTTTGACATGCCCCTTGGCTTTGAAAGACGTTGCGGGGGGTTATATGAATGTGGCCAGTGAGAGGCATTTTTCCTTCTCAATCACCTACCACTGACAACTCCACTCTCTCTTCCCCCTGAGACAAAGCCCCCAAGAATTTGCTTTCGTTCCAGTATCCATTTCCCAAAAATCCTGTGCCTTTTTGGCTCTCGTTTTGTTTCCTTCCCCCTTTAATAGGCCTGCACAGGCAAGAACAGGTTGCTGCTCTTGACCCTTTTCTCTATTTTTCGTTTCTGGGTCTTACAAAGAAAGTGAGGAGAGGAGGGTCTGAGAGGATTCGTTAAAATGCATGGGTTTTGAGCTGAGACTCGGACACCCTTTTGGCCAGTAGAGGAAACCCAGAGAGGAATCTGAACAGGGTCCTTGTTTCATTGACATTGGGGTCGTCTTGAAACTTGCACGAGTAGCTTTGTTCATCTTTCCAAGTTGGTTAGGGTTTGAATTTGATTCGTCATTGGCGGTGGGCTGTGTTGAGAAGGCATTGGGAAGCAGTTTCAGGAGCAGGTACTCGTTCGAGAAGGTTGACATTCGTAAGCAATCCTGTTTATTATGTATCTGGTGTCTCATTTAGTGATTATTTGTTGGTCAATTTGCTATTGCGTTTGCTAAACACACAAATTTCAAGTTTTATGTGTCCCGTATTTGCGAAGGCCAGCTCTTTTGTTTGGTTATTGTCAACATGTTCCCTCTGATTTTCCCATCCAATCTTCTCTCTCTCTCTCTCTCTCTCTGGTTTCTACTTTATACCAATCCGTCGGTGTCGGTGTCGGCAGTGTGAGAATTAGTAGGGTCTGTGAGGAAGTAATTTCAAGACCACTCCCCATGTAAATTTTTCATGGATATAGAGTTAGCAAAGGCTTGAGAATCATTTATTTTCATATCTGCGTCCTGCTGTAGTTTCTGGGAATATGCAAAGTCTAGCAAGAAGTTAATATGTTTGTGAGATCACAGACTATATAATCTTGTGCTAATCAAGATCTTTATGTGGACTTCCAGTAATTAATTTTGTATTCTATCTCACTATCTAACAGGCACTTGAGAGTTATGCCCACGAATCTTAACGAGGAACTGTCGACAACATCTGTTTTTGGTCTCAAGGTGTGGGAATTGGTAGCAATCGTTTTTGGAGTCTTCGTCTTAATAATCATGGTGTTGTCGCTCTGCCTTAGCCTTCGCAAAAAATCCAGAAGGACCAAAAACCTTCTTCCTCTTACCCAAATTCCTACGGACTCGAAGGAGATAAAAGAGATTATCATTGATGAAGCTTCAGCAAATAATTTTATTTCCCATGAAGGCATTATTCACGCGCTCAATGATAAGTACAGCGATAAGGACTCCGAGAAGGCATTGGCCCTTTCAAAGAATGGAGATACCAGCAGTCAATCAGGCTCTTTTACTAACATTGAGAAGGATGGTATCAAATCTCAGTTGGAGGGAGTCCATGGGAAAGTTACTGCTTACCAGCCTTCCTCACATCCAATAACTGCACCTTCACCTCTCTCTGGTCTGCCGGAGTTCTCCCACCTCGGTTGGGGCCATTGGTTTACTTTAAGAGAACTGGAAGTAGCTACTGGTCGGTTTTCCAAGGAAAATGTCATTGGAGAGGGTGGATATGGAGTTGTTTATAGTGGTTGTCTGGTTAATGGGACACCTGTGGCGGTCAAGAAGCTCCTCAACAATCTGTATGTCGGATGTTAGCTTGTCTTTTATTGGTATTAAGTGAATGATGTCGTGCTTTTCTAATACGATGATTTTTGTAGGGGGCAAGCAGAGAAAGAGTTCAGAGTAGAAGTTGAGGCCATTGGTCACGTGCGGCACAAAAACTTGGTTCGACTCCTTGGGTACTGCATTGAAGGAACTCACAGGTATTGCACATAGATTTCTGGATCTGTCTTAGTAATATTGACTTCAGAGCATTTTCAAAAGGTCTCAAAATTTAAGAACTTGATAGTTCAATGACACGAGTGGATCCACATAGCGGACCCTAGTTAGTGGGTAAAGGCTCTGTTGTTGTTGACGACAACTCAAACTAGAGCATATTGGGCAAATGCACATCGTTTCTCATAGTGGGTAAAGGGTCTGTTGTTGTTGATGACCCTAGTTGCAGGGTATGATTTTTCTTATGCATGCTGGCTCATGCATTAATATAAAGAATTTGTAATTTAGACTATTTGTCTTGCGCTAGGGCCTGATTTTGGCGACAATTAAGATTCTGTTAATTTATACAAGATGGAGCAGGAGAATCAGAATGGGTTATTTGTGTTCGCTCATTTGTTTATTTTTTTTGTTATGAACTGTAGGTTGTTGGTGTATGAGTATGTCAACAATGGAAACCTAGAGCAATGGCTTCATGGAGCCATGCGTCACCATGGTTATCTTACCTGGGAAGCTCGCATGAAGATTCTCCTGGGCACTGCCAAGGCGTAAGTCATTAGCATCTCAAACTCATGACAGATTTGCATTTTATCGGGTTTTTCTTTGTTCTAGTTCTGAATCGTAGTTAAATGTTGCAGATTGGCTTACTTACATGAGGCGATTGAACCAAAGGTAGTGCATCGGGACATCAAGTCCAGCAACATACTGATTGATGATGACTTTAACGCAAAGATATCTGATTTTGGCCTGGCAAAACTGCTTGGTGCTGGAAAGAGTCACATCACAACTAGAGTCATGGGAACTTTTGGGTTAGTTGTTTTTTCCTTATACGATTTCGACGACCAAATCCCTGTCAATTTCCTGGTGGACAATTCATGCTTATTTCTCTGTCCACTTTGAAACATTTCCAGGTATGTAGCACCAGAATATGCCAACTCTGGGCTATTGAACGAGAAAAGTGATGTTTACAGCTTTGGAGTGGTCCTTCTGGAAGCAATTACTGGACGAGATCCGGTAGATTATGGGCGACCTGCACCTGAGGTATGCCAAAATCATCTGTTCTCAATTCAAACGAGGAGTCTTGAAAGCACATTATGTATAGTTTCCCTGAACTAGAATGACAAGTCCTATTTATATGATCAGACCGATCTATCTGCGAGTTCTCTCCGTAGTAGCACCTTGTATTAGGTTGAATAGATGTCACTATTCTCTGAGTTGATCATCTTTTGGTCTTCTTCAGGTGAATTTGGTTGACTGGCTCAAGATGATGGTCGGAAGCAGGCGTTCTGAAGAGGTGGTGGACCCGAACATTGAGACAAAGCCATCAACAAGCGCCCTTAAACGAGCCCTTCTGACTGCTCTGAGATGCGTCGATCCTGATGCTGAGAAAAGGCCAAAAATGAGTCAAGTTGTCCGGATGCTGGAGTCAGAGGAGTACCCGATACCCAGAGAGGTTGGACACTTAACTTCTGAAGTCTCATTCGAGTCTTGATTTCTTGAGTATAGGATGTAAAATAAAAATGCCAGTGAAGTTTTTAGCAAGTATGAATGATTCCGAGTCTTGATTTCTTGAAAATAGGATGTCAAAAAAAAAAAAAAAAACGACGGAGAGTTTTTAGTGAGTATGACTCCATATTGGATGACACCATTGAGTGCTCTGAAATTGGTCATATAACACTCTGCTTATTTTTTGGGCCAAAGCATGCATATCACTTAGTTGAGATGGTTTCCTTCAAATTTGGTAGGACAGTTTAGTTTTTAAAGTCCTAGAGTATGTTAAACATGCAAGGGTGAGTGTCTTTGGAGAAGGACTTACCTTAAATCTTTATCAAAACTTTGGTCTGCGTGACTCGTTGCAGAACTGAGTTGCTCTGCCGGGGAAAAAAGATAATCCGAATGATAGATCATTCTTGAAAACGTGCGATAGTGGTTTATGTGTAATTGTAAAACAAGCTATTTTCCACAAGTCATTTCTCTCTCATTTAAGTTATATAGCCTTTGCTTAAGGGTGATTTGTTGGCAAGTTCAGGATCGAAGGCGTCGGAGGAGTCATACTGGAGCTGCGGACACAGAGCCTCGGAGATCCATTTCTGAAACTGATCGGAGTGACGCTCCAGAATTAAGGTCAGACACTCGAAGGAATGCTGGGCACAGAGAAAGGGGCTAATCGATGACACTATGTTTGGACGGAGGGGCTCAAGATCTCTGAGTTTAGCTGATGGCATTCTCTCTGCATTTGCAGATTCATTTCTTCTTTACAGCTACATCCGAGATCGAGGAGCTGAGAGCAGAAGCACTTGATTGAGGATTTAGGAATTTGTGGTTTGAATTGCACTATATGATTGTGGTATTGGGCAATCTTTTTTTTTCTTCTCTCTTTTCAGGAATGAAAATGGCATGATTGTAGGATGTCTTTGCCATTGGTATTGTTGTATAGATGAGGTTCTTCCTCTCTCTTCTGATTTTTCCATTTTATCCTTATCTTGCTAGTCCCATACATACATGAGATTGAGAAACAGAGTTTTATGACGATTTGGAGGAAATGAAGAGTATTACATCGAGTGTTAAAAGAACCCGAAAACTGATAAACCGAACTGACCTGAATCGGTATGGTTCAGTTTATTATGTTATTCGTATGGTATGTTTCTCGGTTTAACGGTTTCTCTTGCTGGCTTACGCGTATGTTGATTGGTTTCTTGTGACAAATTTAGAACGTGATTCTCCTTATTACAAGGATTAACAAGACCCCGTAGTGATGGAGGGCATCAAAGAATTTGTGTCTCACACTTTTGAAAAGAGATTATTTACTTCATTGCTAGGATTACACATAGTAGTAAGATATGATGTCGTCTTGTACTAGGATGCATTTGCATAGTTATTGAAAGCCATGATAACAAGAATAGACCCCTATTTTCACCTGAACTCCTAAGCAAGAGTTGGTGGAGAAAACTAAGAGAAGAACCTCCTTTATAAACGTAGACGACCTCTTCGATCTTCAATCCAGGAAAAAGCAGAGGAAAAAGAGTGAAGCTGAGAGAGCAAGATCACGAGTACCTTACATTATGTTGCAAAAATCACCCTCGTAGGGATACTTTGTGCATGTAGCGCTGCGATATGTCGCTCGTGAATAGAAATACGGTGGACATACGTTCGATCCAGTCTTTGCTAACTATCGAAGTTATATAGATGAGGCTATGGATGACTTACGCAGCGGTACATTGACCCACGGGGGCAATTACTATGCCAGCGCTCATGACATCTAAGGCCATGGGGCATGCAATCGGAGCATTGGCATCCACAGATTGTGACCAGTACATTCGGCACGCTCGGGACGATGTCAAAGAGATTCGTTCCATTTCAATTTTTGGTACAACGAATACAAAAATATATCACCTGTTTGGACACCTTGGGTGTCGTTTCAGGTACGAGGTTTTTGTGTTTCGGTTACATCATACGTAGGTTACGCTTTGAAAAGTCAATATAAATTTTACCTTACCAAAAAAAAAAATAAAAATAAAATATATATATGTATTAGTCAGAGATGATGTCAACATTGGTTAAAGCAATAAAGAGAGGACTCACACAAATCCGTTTTACAGAGGTTCATACCAGTTTGGTATAATAAGACACAATGGGGACACAAAAAAAAAAAAATCTAATCACTCCTTTCCTTTTTTCTTTTTTATTTTGGAAAAAGCATTTCGTTTCCCTTTCTAAACCAAGAGAGGAGAATTTCTATCCTACATGCCAGGCCCGGACATGTAATTCGCCATTTTTTTGACTAAGGTTTATTTGGTCGATTCCATCCGATCGACGTCACAACGTTGGATGGGATGGTTTCTATCCCATTTTGGGCTTGCATCTTGGCTGCCGAACGTGCTTTCAAAGTGTATTTATTGTTAAATGCCGTGCATTCCGGATGTCAATTTCTGGGTCATGCTAATATTGTAAACATGGATAAGAACAAGTGTACAAGAGTAATAGCACTATCTGAGTCTTGATAGTGTGATATATTGGAAAAGCTATACTTACTGATTGTAACTTCTCTTGAAGATTACTAGTGGATATCAGCCTTGTTATGGCGGTTAGTGTTAAGAGTGGACGTAAGCTTGGGGATAAAGCCGAACCACTACATATATGCTTGCACACGCACTTGATTTGTACAATCTGTTTCCGCCCATGTTTGTAGTTGAATTTGTTATATTCCGCAAATGTTTTTTATAGTTCTCAAATAACCTATTCACGCCTCTATAATCTATATTGTTAGCCTCAACATAAATTTTAAAATTTCCTTTATCTCAACAAGTGCCTGACTTATGGGAAAATTGTCCAAAAAGTTCTAAACCTAAACTTTTCAATTTTAAATTTTTTGACAACTTGTCAATTTAGTTTTAAACTTTTCCTTTTTGTCAATTTAGTCATAAACATTTTTGAAGATTTGTCAATTTAGTTCTAGACCTATTATTTGGATAATTGACCGAAATGACTACATTAAAAATTCGTCAAAATATTTAGGACTGAATTGGCAAATCATCAAAAGGTTTAGGACTAAATTGACAAATTGTCAAAATGTTTATGACTAAATTGATACAGTCGAAAGGTTTATGACTAAATTAGATGCAGTGTAATAGATTTAGGATTTTTTTGACAATTTTCCCGAAATAAATACGTCTTCCATAAAAAGTTCACGGACAAGAAATTGATCATCTCCACTAAATCACACCCATAAAATATATGATTTATTCCATATAATAAACTGTACCCCTGCCTTCCACCTAATTGATTACTAAAGTCGGTGGAGAAACCTATAATAAGAATGGCTTAGATATATGGACTATCCACAAGGGGTTTCAATTAAGAGACTAAGAGGACAAAAAGTGAAGGGAGAGAGCCAAACCATGAACGCATTCCAACATCTCGTGACACTCATCGTTATAGGGCTGTTTCATACATGCAATGTCGCGAAATAAGCTCCCAATACTACACTGGCATACAAAATATGCAGTGGAAGGACGTTTGGTCTCGAGGATCCTTACGATGGTTTCAGAGGCTTCATTCTAGATGATTTAACTGATTGTACACTGACCCGCGGATATAATTATTATAATAGCTATGACGTTTGTCACGGCCATGGAGCATGCAACGGAGCGTTGACGCAATCCGACTGCCGCCGGTGCATGGAGACAGCTACGGCTCGTATCCTTGAAGAATGCGGGATGAGCCGTGGGGCTCAACTCCAACTTAAGGATTTTAGAAGAAGATACGAAGATTACCAATTTACGAAATCATTAAGTTTTTATGTGCCCATCAAATTAATTGTTCCATTATGCTACTATGTGTTCTAGCGGCAAGTGGATTAAATAAATTGCATAGTGTTTGGCATGTATTCACGAGATCACAAAAATACCAAATCTTCTAATTGACTTCCTCTTTTAACTCTCCAAACGATTGAGCATTTGGTAGATCCGTTGTTCAGATCACAGCGTCTCTTGCTCATAGTAATTTTGGAGGTCATTCCGAACGGTGTGCGTGCAATCAAATTAGTCAAGCCGAAATGTTTGAATGCAACGTATTATAGAGGATTTTCCACTTTCAGGGACGGATTTTGACAGTCTCCCGAGGCCCTTTTTCTTGTAATATCCAAAACAAACCGAATCCAAAGAATCCGAATTATTGAACCATCCAAATCCGACCCGATTCGAAACTAAAGAAAATTGAATCTATAGTGGATCCAAATCCGACTTGGCCCGAACTTTTGAGTCCAAGAGTTTACTCTAAACTCAAATTTTTCGACAATGTGAATAACCTTTCTACTGATGGAAAAGTAGTACCATTCAGAGATTAGAGTAATGATCTACACATGTTCCGTATATACGAAAGTCGGAAGTTCAAGTCTTGTCAGTTATGGCTTGTTTTGTCATTGTAATGTATGTTTATTACAATTTGAAAGATATACTTCACCGATCGTTGAGAGCTAACTTCAAATTTCAAATTAGGTATAGTATGGACAAAGTTAATTTGCGAAAAAATCGACTTATCGGTTAAAATCCGAATGGCAACTCAAAATCGAAATTGACCTATGTTCGAACTATCGGCTATTACTTGCAATCGGCTCCAACTTGGTGAGTTATATCTATGCATGTCAAAATTTGTGAAGGGGGTTCGATAACAAATGCAATGTTCATCACTAGCGCAACAAAGTTCTTCCTTTTTATTTTTTTCGGACGTGTTTTAAGTCTATGTACGGATATGGATAGGTTAGGTTTGATGGTATTGTATCTGGTTAAATTCACAAATTTCTTTTCTATGGTGGAACCGAGGAACTAAGTTTTTGTTTTACATGGGGATAAATGGCAAAATGTATAGGAGAGAGAGAGAGGGGACCTCCATGTAATATTTTGAGTTATTTTCCATATTGATTGCCCAAATTGCATGTCACATGGAGGGACAAACAGCATCCAGAATGGAAATCATGAACTGAATTTGTTTTTTAAACAAATACATGCCAATTTTCAGAATTTCCAGCATCATAACTGGACAATTTATTTCACCGCGTTATCAATAGGATGAGTTTGTTTGATATATATAAAGCTCTTTCCCTCGAGTAACTCGAAGAGTCAAACTTTTCTCTCGAGAATGCAGGTCCATGCTTCGTAAGATCCAAAAGAGCCTTCCACCAAATTCATAAACAAAAAGTTGGTGGAGAAACCTATGAGAAGAATCTCTCTTATATAGACCACAAAAACCGAGCTTCTGTAAAAAAAAAAAATATTGAGGAGAAAAAGTGAAGATTGAGAGTCAAAAAATGAACACATTGCCACATATGGTGACCGTCCTCGTCATATGGCTGTTTTGCACCGGTAATATTGTGAAATGTACACCAGACACAACAGAGGTTTGTCATATATGCAGTGGAAGGACGTATGGTCTTTTAGATCAATATGGCATTTCCAAAGGTGTTCTTATGGATGATCTGTGTGATAGTACACCAACCCATGGTTACGATTATTACAATAGGTGCTACAATTGTCACAGCCATGGAGTGTGTAACGAGGCATTGACACAATCTGATTGCGGTGCGTGCTTGCAGGAAGCTGAAGCTCATCTAAACAACGAATGCGGTCGGAGCCTAGGTGCTCTAGTTCAACTTAAAGATTGCATAATGAGATTTAAAGATTACAAATTTAGCGAGTAAGTTATATGCTTCACGTCCATCTCAGTAATAAACTGTAACAATAAAGCACATGTTTCTCACATGCTATTTTGTGTTTAAGTTGCAAGCGGACACTAGTTGTATCCTACGTTGTACTTGTGTGCTTACAAAGAGGTCTAGTAAAATGTCTAAGTTAAGTAAATTGCACAAATCTTGTTATTCGCCGGCTTGTGAAAAAACAAATCTAGCTGTTTGTGTTCGGTAGAAGGGCTCGAGGCAATTACATCCAAAGAGTTTTCTCTTTCCAAATAATTTTTTTTTCCTTTTAATATAAAGTTCTGCTCACAAGAGACTTCTATATGCCTATGGAGAAGTCTCCAATATTCTTTTTTTTTCAATAACATATGATAATGACCATTC